AAAAAAAGAACACTGTGTGATAACAATAGTCATTGGTATGTTAGAAATAATTTCAGGAGGGTTAAGAATAACGTGGTCACATCACATGGCCATAAAATACAGTAACGCAGTCAAAAATAGGCAAGGATTCAAACTGCATAAAAGAGGGGAGAAAAGATGGGTATTTTTTATGAAACAAAAATGAGAAATATAGCCTAAAAAGATATTTCTTTTTTAAAAACTTTTATTTTAGGTTCAGAGGCATATGTGCAGGTTTGTTTATTTAGGTAAATTTCATGTCATGGAGGTTTGGTGTACAGAATATTTTGTCACCCAGGTAATAAGCATAGTACCCAATAGGTAGTTTAGATATTTCTTTAATAAGCTTTAAATCCAAAAAAAAAAAAAAGGAGAATATAGTCTACTCGGATTACTTTTGTCTTTGTATCAACTCAGTTGTAAACTATGTTTGTTTGTTTGTTTGTTTATTTGTTTGTTTTAATGGAAGAAGGAGCCCATGAAGGCAAAAGTGCTTGGGACCCAGGAAAGTCGTAATGCAACCAGAAGTCCAGAGGCTAAGACATCAGGGTCCGGGGGACTCGAGGCCACAGTTCATTTCCAAGCAGCACAGAAATCTCAATATTTTAGCAATGCCACATCCATACCAGAGCATAGAGTCCCAGTAGTAGGACAGGCAATCCTGCCATTTCAGGGAATAACTGCTGTTAAAGGGATATAGTTTCTTCTTTACCACGAAAAAATACATAGACGCCTTGTCCACATATTGTTAAACAATTCTCTGTTAAAAACTTTCTCAGTTTCTAACAGCCAACTTTGAACCAGTTCTCTAATGTGCCTTCTTTCCAACGTTTCCTCTGTTCTGGTTCTTTGGGAGATGATGGAGGAGCTTTCAAGAGAACATATCTTTAATTGAAATTGAGATGAGCTGTAATAAACATCTAGTTTAAGAGGAGAAGTTCAAAAGAAACAACTTGCAATTTTCTTCCATTTCCCTCCTTGGAAATGACCTCATGGCTTCCTAATCCTCTGTATTTCCTTACCAATGCTTAGAGCTATGGAATGATAACCTTCATTCCCTTAACTTTCTATAGTGCTGTCCCACTTTATACAAATGTGGATTAAGCAAATGTAAGAGACCATAATATAAATATTAATCAAGTCTCAATTTATGTACAACATTTGAGGTAATATAAATCCAAGTATTTTCAGATTTCTTCAAAACTTGCATAAAGCGGAAGTAGTAGACTGAGTGAATGGTGAACTGTGTTCATGGCAAGGCCACGTGGTGAAGTCTCTAGCAAGAAAATATTCCCTCCTTTTACAGTATGTGTGAATTATACACTTGTTTATGTGCATGACAACATCTGTTAGAGTTCAATAACCATTTTCTGTTATTTGACCATCCACTATTATTATAATTAAAAATTATTTGTATCCAACAACAATGTCATGCAAGCATTCATTAAATGTGGGTGTCAGAAGCAGTGCTAAAAACATGCCTCAAAATCAATTACTTTGGAAAACACATTAGAAGTAAATGAACAAAATTGCAAATAAAGGCAAACAACTGTCATGGTATGCTGTGCTGTTAATGTGGAAACAAATAACATGAGAAATGTTAAAAATAACGCTGAAAAAATTAAAAGCATAAATGTATAATGCAACGGTTAATGATTTATGTGCCCTGAGAATACATCCCACATTATTTATATTTATAATATTTAGTCCTTTGAAATTTGTGAATTTTTAATTAGATGTCTTTTATTTAAAGATATAGCCAGATCCCATGTAAATAAGAAAACGGACCTGAAATGCATTTTAAAATAATATGTTTCTTTCCTTGCGGTTTTTCTGATGATAAACAATCACACTTGTTACATTGGAAAATTCTAAAAACTGTAAAGATGAAGAAAGTCACCTAGAATCTCAACATTCATTGGCCAACTGTGCTAGCATTTTGGCAGTTTCCCCAGTTTTTAAAACGTTCTCCATATTTGTATGTAGTTTGGATAAAATATACATGCAACTTTGTACCTTAATTTTTTTACCCTTAAATGAAGATTTATCAAGACACTAAGAACTATCTATGGAGAATATAAAGGCTGCACAATATCTCATCATACGCTTATAACATACTTGATTAATAGTACTCCTAATGTTACAGCCCAGTGGATTCTTCTTGCCTACTGGCCCTCGAAAAACAATACATTAAGAACAGCAGGTGTTGCAGCAAAGGAATTTAATTATCAAGGACCAGCCAAGCAGAAGGACAGGAGAAATTTCTCAAATCTACCTTCCCAATAATTCAGAGGCTAGATATTTTAAGAATAATTTGGTGGACTGGGACCTGGGGAACTGAAAAGATTGGCTGAGAATGAAATCACAGGAGTGTCTAAACTGTCTTTGCATAGCTGAGTCAGTTCCCAGGAGAGGATCTCAGGACCAGGCAACATTTCTCTGTCTGCTGAAAAGCTAAATCTGAAAAATAGCTCAAAGACCTGTTCTTTAGGTTTCACAATAATGAAGTTATCTGAGTAGTTGGGGAAGTTATAAATCTTGTGACCCCTGTTACTTGGCTCTGGAGCAGTAAGCAATGTGTAAAAAAGCAAGTTAAGCAATGCCAGGTAATTATTTAACCATGCCTATTCTTTAGCAAAGTTCAAGCCCTCACCGTAAGTCTAACCTTGTGACCTTTTGTTAGTATTTACAAATATGGTTTCCATTTACGAACGAGGATATCAGTTCAGAAAAAGAACTATTATGGCCTCCACATAAGAAGGAGCAAAAGCAGCTCAGCCTGGTAGAAGCAAGACGGACTCAGTTATGTCACATTTCCCTTCTTACTGTAACTTTTGCAAAGGCAGTTTCGGTAATACTAAATATTTAGGTACTTTCCAAGTTTTGTCATCATAAATAATTCAGTGATGAATATATTTGCATATGAATTTCATTACTAGTTCAAATTACTTTTCTTTGGGGAAGTTTCCTAGAAAAAGAATTATTAGGTCAAACAGTGTTTTTTTGGTTCGTTTTTTCCTTTTTGAGACCGAGTCTCACTCCATCACCCAGGCTGGAGTGCAGTGGCACAATCTCTGCTCACTGCAACCTCCGCCTCCCGGGTTCAAGAGATTCTCTTGCCTCAGCCTCCCAAATAGCTGGAATCACAGACAACGTACCACCACGTGTGCCTAATGTTTGTATTTTTTTAGTAGAGACAAGGTTTCATCACATTGGCCAGGCTGGTTGCAAATGCCTGACCTCAAGTGATCCACCTGCCTTGGCCACCCAAAGTGCTGGGATTACAAGCCTGAGCCACCACGCCCAGCCTCAAACGGTATTTTTTTAAAATATTGCCAATTTTATTCTCAAAAAGAAAAATCTTTTTGTCTTAATTCATATTGTTTATTTTTTGTAAATGGAGCATATTCCCTATATTTACTAGTTAGTTGATTTTATTTCCTACTTTGTAAACAGCCCATATATTTCCTTTGCTCGTTTCTCTAGGGTCATTTACATTTCTCCTGCCAATAAGTATGAGTTATATATATAAAGCATATTAAACCATAAACTACCACATTTGTTGTTTCTATGTCTTAAATATTATTTTTTTAAATAAGAAAAAAAAATCAGAATGTAGCATATAATGAAGGTGGCGTCCTAAATCCCTTACTTCCCTAAATCGGTTATGCTATCTTTTCAAAACATTTTTGATTATTCTCATCTGTTTGTCCTTTCAAATAATTCCTGGAATCTTAAAATTCAGAAAGAAAACAAAATCCATTGGGATTTTATTAAACTTATAAATTTAGTTTATAATTACTTTAGTTTTCCAGTTCCCTAAAATGGTAGCTATTCCTTTTTATTTGAGATATCCGCCTCAGTCATGTTTTGGTTCATATTTTAAAACAAACAGATAATGGCTTCAGTTTCTTCTTGTGATTCCTCATGGGTTGCAGTCATATGGAAGCCAGAGCTGGAGTCCAGGCTCTGCTAAACTGATTATCCATGATGGCTTCCTCACTCGTAAGTCAAGCTTGCCAGTGTTCCTCCCACAGTCTCTCCCTCCAACAGAGTAGCCTGGATTTCTTCTCTGGTGGCTCAGGGCTTAAAAGGTGGAGGCAATCTTAAAGCTAAGCTCATAACTGGCACACAGTCACTTTTGCCATGTTCTACTGATCACCTCAACTCGAGATGGAGGAATCCTCACCCTAAATGGGGAGTGGCTTGTGCCAACAGGAAGGTCTGCCATCTTTGGAGATAAACTGCCACGTTATCTTTTATTGATCTTGGTGAAACTTTCCTCATGAAAGAATTTTGAATTTGTATCGCTAATAATAATTTGTATGATTTTTCTTTTATGATTTATTAACTGGTTAGTGCTGATGTGAAGGAAAGCTATTGTCTTATTTATTCTAATTACTTCTCAGTTTAATATCTTGGTTCTCCTCAATAGATAATTACACTATTGGAAAATAAGATGTGCTTTTCTCTTCTTTATCAATAGCTAAATATCTTATTTCTATCTCATGTCTGCTGCCCTGGTTAAGACTTCCAGAACAAGGCTAATTGGAAGCAGCCTTGTTTTGTTTCTGTTGCATAATTTGTAAAGTACAAATACATTCAAGTTATAAACTGGACATTCTTAAATTAACATACATATTTCCCAGAGCTATATTAAGCCACTTACTTTTATGTGTTGATGCAATACAAATGAATAGAAAGTGGGTTCTTATTCCAGATAAATTGAATTCAGGGAGGGGACAAGTAAACAAGATGAGGAAGAAAGTGTCTAATATATTTTAGATACTGCAGTATTTTTCCCTGAAATCTATAAACACCCATAAATCATAACCATAAAACATTCTCATGACTCCAATAAACAGCTAACATCTCAAAATAAACGTAAAATATTCTCCTTCCTTCCCAAGTTTGACTATACTAGGTGCAAAGAATCACTTCAAGTACACAAATAGGTAGAAGACTATGGCTCTTGTACTCACATGTGGCTGATAATCATATGGTGGAACATAATCTTCTGAGTACGTTGTCAGTGCACACCTAAGAGGGATAAGTCAATGTTTGAGGAAAGAATCACTTCGAAAAGAAAAATATTTTAAATGGTTATTGATATACACTTTACATGAAATAAAAACATTTCAGGAAGGATTGGCCCTAATCAAAATTTAAAATCCCTCAACTGCCCCAGCCGCTGTATATAGTATTATCCACCACCAGCAGGGTACCCCCAACTTCAATTTCAGCAGTCTCCCTTATTCTTAGGGAATATGTTCCAAGACCCCTAAGTGGATGTCTGAAGCCTCGGATAGTACTGAATCCAATTGCTGTCAGTTAGAACACATTTCCGTTCATGTTTTCTACCCATAAATGTAGTGCCTTTTTTTATCTTAGCTAAGGACTTATCAAACATTATGGCCTTCGCTTTTGCAGTCTGAGGTACAACAGCAAAACTAGCATGAATTTTTCTTTTCTTCTTTATAATTGCAAGGATAGAAGATTTGTTCTTACCATGGGTCTTAGATACTTCAGCATACGATTTTTTTTTTGCTCTCCTTAAGTTGAGAACTTTCATCTTGAAGCACCTAAAGTGCTTAAAGGAAGCACTTGACAGCTTCTCTTTAGCATATCTGAATGCCTGCACCACCACTCTTGCACTCTAGAGCCATCATCAAGTAAAATAAGGGTTACTTGAACACAAGCACTGCAATACCGTGACAATCTAATAATGAAGAAGGCTACTAAGTGACTAACAGCCAGGGACAGTAGACAGTGTGGAGACACTGGACAAAGGGAGGATTCATGTCCTGAACTGGATGAAGCCAGATGGCACAAGATTTTGTGGCACTACTCAGAGCTACATGCAATTTAAAACTTACAAATTGTTCATTTCCGAAATTTTCTGTTTAATATTTTCAGACTGCAGTTGACCTCATGTAACTGAAACTGTGGAAAACAAAACTATGAATAAGGGGAGACCACTGTACCTCCAATTTAGCACCACCTACTACTCTCCTGTACTAATGATATTTGTGGCAACCCAGGCTCAAGTCCCTGAGCTCAGGAGTTCTGCATTCCAAGGATTCTCTTTATCACCAGCTTCCTGCCTCTATGAGCTTTTTGACCCACATTCTTTGCCAGGTGACTGCTGAAGAATAATGGAGGACAGCCAGATAGACTGAGATTACATAGCATCCCCAACCTCCGCCCCATTAAACACACAGAAATGCTGGATGAAATACATCCATGCTTATCCCCCAAGGTCCACAAGTATACCCAAGCCCAAAAAGGAAACCCTGAGGTGCTAGAACTGAAGAGGATAGTCACTACAATGGGAAACCATAAACTGATGTGGAGTTTGAACTACACATCTAGAGTAAGAGACTTGGCCTTAGATTCACAGGAGGCAGAGAACTAAACTCCAATGATAACCAAGAATCTGTAAAGGCTATACCTCCATATAAAATAAACCAGAGAAACCTCAGCTACTAGTCCAGAGAAACTTGCAAGAAAGTTTCTCTCTGCTTGAGTTCACGGTGGGGGAAAAATTATTCTCCTATGAGAAATTAAAACCCCACCTCCATTCCTGACAATATTATGGGACTGGATGGCCAAAGAAACTCCTCTGAGTATTGCATACTGAAAAACCAGGGTAAAAGGAAATTTTAAGACGTTTTAATGCATGGCTGAGCTGGTGAGAAAGTCACAGAACCCAACAAGAATCCCAAAATAACAAGTTCAACTTAGACAGGCTATTGGATACCCGGGTGGTAACCACCAATTCTTGCCGGGTTCTCAGGGTGTGATTTCCTGAGTAGTAGCAGCAGCACCTGGGAATAGAAATGCGAATACTTGGGCCCCACCACAAAACAACTAAATTAGAAACTCTAGGGGTGGGACCCAGCAATACATATCTTAGCAAACCCTTTAGGTGATTCTGATGTATGCTAGAGTTTGAGTACTAATGATTAAAACAACACAAATTAGAAATGTAACTTTCAAACCATCAAATGGTTTTTTTTAAAAGATAAATCTAATAGGAGTCAGGAAAGGAGAATAAAAGGAACAGTGGACATTATTTCTGCTCATAAAACAAATTAAAATCATAAAAATAAAATTAAATATCTTAGCAATTATAATAAAAATAAAGGGGTTAAACCTATCAGTGAAAATATTTTCTCAGACTTAAATTGAACATCAAACTGTATTTTTTTTTTTTTTTTTAAACTCCTACTTGTCATGTTCGGTGGCATGTGTCTATGGTCCCAGCTACTCAGGAGACTGAGGCAGGAGGGTCAATTGAGCCCAGGGGTTCTGAGCTATAGTGCTGTATGCCTATGGGGTGTCCACACTAAGTTCAACATCAGTATGGTGACCTCCCAGGAGCAGGACCACCAGATTGCCTAAGGAGGGGTGAACCAGCCCAGGTCAAAAAGGGAGCAGGTCAAAACTCCTATGCTGACTGGCTTAGTAGCTTGCACCTGTACTCCCAGCTACTCAGGAAGCTGAGGCAGGAGCATCCCTTAAGGCCAGGAGTTTGAGGCTGCCGTGAGCTATAGCAGTACCAGCCCAGATGACAGAGAGAGACCCTGTCTCTAAAACAAAAATAATTTTTAATTACCAACTACCTGCTTTTATACATAAAATAAAATTACTTTCAAAGAAGCTTGAAAGTAAAAGTATATAAAAATACATACCAATGCACGGAAATTAAAAAATATACTTCTCAGTGACCAGTGGTTTGATGAAAAAATTAAGAAGGAAATTGAAAAATTTCTTAAAACAAATGACAATGAAAATACAACATACCAAAACTTAAGGAATACAGTGAAAGCAGTACTAGGAGGGAAATTTATAGCTAAGTGCCTACATCAAAAAAGAAGAAAAACCTCAAATAAATAACCTATTGATGAATCTTAAAGAACTAGAAAAGCAAGAGCAAACTGAATCCAAAATTAATAGAAGAAACGAAATAATAATCAGAGTAGAAATAAATGAATTTGAAATGAAGAAAGCAATACAAAAGAATGATTTTTTAAAATTGTTTTTTAAAAGATAAACAAAATTGACAAACCTTTAGCCAGACTAAGAAAAAAAGAGAGAAGACCCAAATAAATAAAGTCAGAGATGAAAAAGGAGACATTACAACTGATAGGGCAGAAATTCAAAGTATCATTAGTGGCTACTACAGGAAACTATATGCCAATAAATTAGAAAATCTAGAAGAAATGGGTAAATTTCTAGACACATACAACCTACCAAGACTGAACCATGAAGAAATCCAAAACCTGAACAGACTAGTTGACAGAGCAAGAGCTTCGCCATCTGGGACAAACACCGCCATTTTAAAGTTCACTTTCATCAAAAACTGCCCAAAACCAAAGGGCATCAGCCTAATGGCTAAGGTCAGCATGATCATAAACCACAAATGACATCTCCAACCAGAAACTTTCCAACCTTAAGATAAACCCCTCCCCAACCAGAGAGATGTCAGCCCCAAGATAACCTCCCCTCCGACCAGAGAACATTCCAACCCCGCAATAAACTTCTCCCCAACACAGAAACATTCCAAGCCTATGATAAGTTTTCTAGCCCTGAACCTTCAAATACTCTTAGTCTGTAAGAGAGGAATGCTCCTAACTGAAATAGTCTAGAAGCCCCTCTCAGCTTTATTCTCCAAAATAAACCTGTCTTTGACTGTTGAGCCACTTTTTGTGTTTCTTTCCTCTTTAACTCTTACACCAATAACAAGTAATGAGATCAAAGATAAAAAATTCTCCCAGTAAGGAAAAGCCCAGGACATGAGGGCTTCACTGCTGAATTCTACCAAACATTTAAAGAAGTAATACCAATCCTACTCAAACTATTCTGAAAAATAGAGGCAGAGGGAATACTTCCAAACTCATTCTAAGAGGCCAGTATTACCCTGATTCCAAAACGAGACAAAGACACATCAAATAAAGAAAACTACAGGCCAGTATCTCTAATGAATATTGATGCAAAAATCCTTGATAAAATACTAGCAAACCAAATTCAACAACATGTTAAAAAAATCATTCATCATGATCAAGTGGGATTTATCCCAGAGACACAAGGATGGTTCAACATATGCAAATCTATCAGTGTGATACATCATATCAACAGAATGAAGGATACAAATTATACAGTAATTTCAATTGATACAGAAAAAGTATTTGATAAAAGTTCAACATCCCTTTATAATAAACATCCTCAAAAAATTGATTAAAGAAAGAATATACTTCAACATAATGAAAGCTATATATGACAGACCTACAGCTAGTGTCATACTGAATGGGGAAAAATTGAAAGCCTTTCCTCCAAAATCTGAAATACAACAAGGATGCCCACTTTCACCACTGTTATTCAACATAGTACTGGAAATCTTAGCTAGAGCAATTAGACAAGAAAAAGAAATAAAAGGCATCCAAATTGGAAAGGGAGAAGTCGAATTATCCTTCTTTGTACATGACATGATTTTATATTTAGAAAATCCTAAAGACCACCAAAAAAGTATACTGATAAACAAATTCAGTAAATTTAGAACTGATAAATTCAGTAAAGTTGCAGGATACAAAATTAACATACAAAAATCAGTGGCAGATCAAGCACAGTGGCTCAAGCCCCCAGCATTTTAGGAGGCCAGGTGGGTAGATCACTTGAGGCCAGGAGTTCAAGACCAACCTGGGCAACATGGTGAAACCCAGCCTCTATAAAAATATAAAAATTAGCCAGGTGTAATCCCAGCTATTCAGGTGGCTGAGGCAGGAGAATTGCTTGAACTTGGGAGGCAGAGGTTGCAGTGAGCCATTATCACACTGTTGCACTCCAGCCTGGGTGAAAAAAAAAGACTGTTTCAAAAAAAAAAAAAAAAAAAAAAAATCAGTGACATTTGTATTTGTTAACAGTGAACAATCTGAAAAAAAATTTCAAAAAACTTAATCCTATTTACAATAGTCACAAATAAAATTAGATATCTAGGAATTAACAAAAGAAGTGAAAGATCTGTACAATGAAAACTATAA